CGCCCGGCCTGAATGTTTTATGTAATTTTATATCATGAGCATTTCCCAGTATAACTAAAACTCAAGATTAATAATTGTTAAAGCTGCATTAATAGTTTCTATATATATGGCTTACCCATCATTTGCCCAAGAATCCTCAGGCCTAACATTTTGGTGCTTTTTCTGTTATGGGTGATAACTTGAGCTATCGATGAAAAAAGGTTCATTTCATACATATACCCATGAAATAATGCAGTGAATATCAATCACGTTTGAGGTTTATATGACAAATTTATGGTTAATTTTGTTTTGAGCATCTTTTGAAAGAGGAATGTTATTAACAGCTACACATATAGGAACTTACAGATATGAATTATAGACTATTCAGCATTTTTTTCCTCATCCGTATTATTTCATCTGCTTTTCCCAACAGTTCTGGAATGTGAATGATCTCCTCTTTGCAGGTACAAAAAATCACAGCACAGAGCAAGCGGGTGACAGGCTTGCCCGGGGTCTATGGCTGCACGTGCTCAGGCTAGGCCTGGAAACCAGGACCTCTGGTTCCCTCTACACCATGCCACGCTGTCGCCTTGTCTTTGGTCTCCAATTATTGTTTTCCTTTGTTCTGACTTTATGGGGAGACTGGCAAGAGCTCTTGCATTTCTCTCCTGATGTTGGGAGTGTTCAGATTCTATCCGCTTCCCTCTTCTGTTTGCCTGCTCAGTAGGGTCCTCTTCCCCATGAATCCAGTAGGGTATTGACACTTCTTCATGCTTTTGCAGTGGCTGATAGAATTGGGTGCTACCTAACATTTTTTTTTTTTTTTTTTTTTTTTTATGAAGAAAGAGGAAAATAAATCAGTATCTTCTCTTTTCCTTAAAAAGCTTTTAAACCCAGAGAACATTTCACTGGGAGTGAGGGTCAGATGTGTGAGTAAAAATGTATAATGGTCTTTTAGAAGATAAGATCTGTTTTGTAAAGAAGGAAAGTTCCCTATGGCATTGAAAATAAAGCTGCCTTTTGGAGCGCTGCTTTATTTTATGTGTAGGTTTAATGAGGAAGTAGCACTTTGTTGTGGGAACATAATCACAGAGGGGCCTTTGTTTTATGCAGACCTTTAGACAAGAGCTGCTTGTGTGCTGGGTTTTGTAAAACCTCATTAATTCAGATGTCAGTTGTTTTTTTCCCCCAAATTTCTGAAAAATTGACCAGCACTAGGTGAGGTTTATTATTATATCATTCAAATATAAAGTGTTTATTAAGCACATCGACAAGGTCAACAAGAAAATAGGCAAATTTCACATTCTTAAGATAAAATCTTTAAAGATTTTTATTGCAAGAGTTGCATGTAACTTGGAGCGTCTCATTACAAGTGAATTTTGGCTGTTCCTGAAAAGAGGT